GGTGAGGGGGCCCCCCATCCCGGGGTGCCGCAGAGGGAGCTGGAAGGGCTTCTCCCCCTGCAGCCGGGGGGGCAAATAGCTGCTGGGGCTGGGGGAGCCCTGCCCGCGGGTCTGGAGAGCTTGTTGCACACCTGGGGGGGAATCTTGTGCCTCCCCCGGGGGCTCAGCACCTCGGGTGGCTGCAGGTGCTGTGGCCTGGGTGTCCCACTGGCGCCTGGCTTGGTGGCACCTCACAGGGTACGCCAGCCGTAGGTCTGGCCGTGGGCTGCCTGCCCTACGTGGGTGCTGCCGTGGCTGCTGCGCCACAGCTAGGCTGCTGGTAGGGCTCCCTGACACGCAGGGACCCATGGCCTGGCAAGCGCAGCACCTTGCCAGGGTGCTGGTCACAGGTGAGAAGGAGGGTTTGGTGCTGCCTGGGCGCCTATCTGTCCTGCTTCTTGCCCAACTGGTCTGGCTGTTTTCATCCCCTGGATCTCGGCCCAAATCTTTCTCCCTCTGCCTTGGTCCAGCTCTGCCCATTGAGAAGGCTCCTGCTGCGAGCAGGCAGCAGGACAGGCTCTTGCTTCTCACTTTTGCTGCTGTGTATTAAAAATGATCGCTACAGCTTTAGGGCAGACCCTAAACATGGTCCTTTCTCGCTGGAGGTACAGCACTAGCCTGCAGGGCTGGAGGGTACTGACATTTCTGCAGAGGTCAGAGGTGCAGCATCCATCATCGCGGCGCGATTGAGGTGCCACCCTGGCCAAAGCAAGGAGGGTTTCTGTGCTTAAGGCGTTGTGGCTTGCCCTGTCCCAAATCGCCGGCCAGGCTGGGACCGAAGCAGCTGCACGACTGACTTAGCCTAGTGCCCTGTGGAGCCCTGAGGGGCCTTCCAGCTTTTGCAGCTTGTGCCTGCTTGAGCGCCAGCCCGGCGCTCCCTCGGAGGAGAGCTGGGGAGCGGCCGAGGGGCAAGCTGGGCTCGCTAGCAGGGATGCTCTTTTGTCCAGCTGTGATTTCAGGCTAAAATCCGTTAGTGCCTTGCCGGGAAGCTGTACATCGTGCAATTTTTGCTCCCCCCAGTGGCTACTGTTCATAAAAGAGAATGGCTTCCAGTCGCAGCTCCTCAGCTGAGCGGCCCCTGCAACCTGATCCCCTTCCTGCCCTCGTCATTTCAACTGCAAAGTCAGATGTTCAGTCTTCTGATGACTCCTTGGATGTGAACCCGAAGTTCAGCCCCTTTCTTCCCCCTCTCCAGACTTCCAGCCTATTCAGTGCTTGCTTGATCAACTTTAATGATGCATTAACACATGTGCTTTGCACACTGCGGACCTGGAAACATTTGCTGCAAGCCAAGTTCCCTGGATTTGCGAAATCAGCAAAACCAGGATGGTTTTTCAGGCCCCGGTTTCTAGCGAGAGGCTGGCCCCAGCCCTCTGGGGTGGGAGCGTGATGCGTTAGAGCCCTGTCGCCGCTCTGCAATAGCTTCCAGACTTTGTGGAAACAGATACATGCTCCCATCTCAGCCCGAGAGCAAAGCTGCAACCATTAGATTCCATCCCCGTCCCCTTTTTAAGCTTGCAATATGGCCTCATCTCTGCCTGCTCGGAGCAGCAGGAGGTACCGGCCTCCTGGAAGCAGCCCCTGTTCCCTGCAATCTAGCAGAAGCTGCTGAGATGGTGTCTGACAGCTTGGCACAGAGCGGGGCTGTGGGCACTCGTGCCAGGAGTGGGGGCAGCAGGAGCTGCTGTTCCCTGGCCCAGGAGCGCAGGAGGTCACCCTGTGCCAGTTGACAGGGTGCCTGCAGCAGGGTTTTAAGTTTTTTTCGCCCAGTTTTTGCCTCTCTACCCTCGTGGCAGTGTGCTGTTTTGCTCCTGCTGAGCATGGCATCCCACTCACTGCGGGGTGGCTTCAAAGAAGCTTTTTCTAGGTGTGAGGGAGGTGTTAACGCTCAGGTCTGGGTGCAGAGAGAAGTCAGGGCTCACCATGCTGCAGAACTACTTCATCAGCACCCGCTGTCTGCAGAGGGGAAACCGAGGCTGGCAGCAGCCTCCAGCAGGCAGAGTGCTGGAGGCAGGGAGCACTGGTCCCATGGGTGCCAGCTGGTCCCTTGCATGAGGCTGGCCCCAAGGAGCTGCATATTTGGGGGGCAAAAAGGGCATGGGGTGATTTTTCTTATTGCTGTCCCTGTGCTCTGGCCTGTAGCTAGGTCTGCAGAGCTGGCAATGGTGTCTGGATCGGCTCAGTAGCTAGCAAGGGATCTGTACTGCATGTTATCTGCTTTCAAGCCTGGTATCTGCCCAGCCAAACCATGTGGCTGCATCCGCAGCATGTGGGGTGTTCAGAAATGCCTGTGCTCAGCATCTTCTGTGTTTCCAGAAACCTTCCCTGCAGCAGCAGGCGTGATCGCATCCTCGGGCTGGGGCAGAAACAGCCCCCCATGCCAAGGGCAGGAGAGGTGCTGACCTTTCCGGGGTGGGCAGCAGAGCTGGGGAGAAGTGGGGCTCCAGCAGAGGCACCTTCCTGTGCAGCTGGGTAGGACCCCTGCCTGCAGGAGCCAAGGGGCCATGGGGCACCTAGCAGGGTGCTGGGTCCCATGGCTTGCCCCGCTACAGTGATGCTGAGCACTGGGCTGACTGTCCTAAGTGAGAACCGTGGGGAGGGCTGTGATGCTTGGTTCGGAGGCTGGTGGCCAGACGCTTTCCCTGTCTCTTGGCCATGGATCTCTGCAGGGTGCCCGGGTGTGGATCCCTGACTGTGTCGAGGTCTGGAGGGTGGCGGAAATAACCAGAGACTACAAGGAAGGAGATGACATACTCCATCTCCGCCTGGAAGATGGCTCGGTAAGGCTGGAGCTGTGTGGCCCAGCAGGTCCCTCCTGTGCTTGCCATGTGGTTGAGCATCCCCAGATGGGAGATAGTTCACCTCTGCACCTGCAAACTAGCCTGGGCTCCTCAGCAGGGTGCTGAGAGGCTCAAACATTGCCTGGATGTGTCCTGTCTGGTGTCTGAGCAGAAGCCCAGACCACTGCAGCTGTGTCTGGCTCACTGTGTCCTGTGTCCCCTGACTGCCCGGTGAGCTGGTCCTCACTGCCTGTTCCTGCCTGACTTCCCAAAATGCCTCCAGCTCAGCTTGCTGTGCTGGCTGGGCTGTGATTCCTGGTGACTAGCAGCCCAAGCATAGCCTGCAGACAGCATCCCTCCTGCTGTGTCACTCCCCACAGACTCATCCTGCCTTTGTGGGGCTGGCTGACCCTGCTCAACAGTTGTCCTGCTCCATCTCCATCCCCGCAGGCACTGGCCTACCCCATCGAGTTCCAGCTGCCGCCTCTCTGCAACCCTGACTGCCTCTCAGGTGCCGATGACCTGGTGGCCCTGAGCTACCTGCACGAGCCGGCCGTGCTGCACTCGCTACGCCGGCGCTTCCTGGAGGTCAACGCCATCTACACCTACTGCGGTGAGCCCCATGGACCCCCTCCTGCTCCCCATCCCGTGCCCCTTCCCTATGGCTCCCTGGGACAGGTGCCCCTCCTGCCCCTGCCTGTTGCACAGCCCTCTTCTCCAGGTATCATCCTTGTCGCTATCAACCCCTACAAGCCATTGCCCATCTATGAGGAGGAGGTGATTTACGCCTACAGTGGCCGTGAAATGGGAGACATGGATCCCCACATCTTTGCTTTGGCAGAGGAGGCGTACAAGCAGATGGTGAGGTGAGAGCATCGCATGGGAGCATCCCCAGTGGGGATGGTCCTCTGGACCGTGGCGTGTCTGTGGAGAGTGGTCCTGTTGGGTCACAGGCTGTCCCCAGCTCATGTCCCTCTCTGGCAGGTTTGGGAAGAACCAGTCCCTCATCATCAGTGGTGAGTCGGGTGCGGGGAAGACTGCATCGGCCAAGTATGCCATGAGATACTTCACCACCGTTGGGGGCTGTCTGGGCCACTCCAGCATGGAGGAGAAGGTGCTGGCCTCCAGCCCCATCATGGAGGTGAGTCCCCTTGGGTCCCCAGGCTCTCCTGTGCTCCTCATGGCCTGTATCCCTGATGTGATGCCGTGTCTGTCTCCCCCCTGTAAAATGGGTGGCAGGGGCTGAACTTCTCCAGAGCACCTGGAGATCTGGGGCCAGCTAAAACCTCCTGCTCTCCTTCCCCACCAGGCCTTTGGGAACGCAAAGACAATCAGGAATGACAACAGTAGCCGCTTTGGGAAATACATCGAGATTGGCTTCAGCCAAGCTCATGTCACAGGGGCCATCATCAAAACCTACCTGCTGGAGAAGTCCCGTGTCACCTTCCAGGTGGGTTTCTGGAGTGGCATGGGGACAGGGCTGAGTGGGAGCCCCAGTCCTTGGAGCAGGAGGGTGCTCCTCCTGGGCATCCCCCAGGGAAGCAACCCCAGTGCTGCTGAGTCCAGCTGGGAGAGGGGAAAGTGTCCCTTCTCCCCAAATCTGGGGCTGCAGCACTGGAGCAGGGGAGCCCAAGGTGACCTGGCTTCTCAGTGATTTTCTTGCTCATCCACAGGTGAAAGCAGAGAGGAACTACCACATCTTCTACCAGCTCTGTGCCTCAGCCACCCTGCCTGAGCTCCAGGGCCTGGGTCTCCGTGAGTGCCCCCACGTCCCCCGCCATGAGCCCCATGGCACAGCTTTCTGCCAGCCTGTCCCACGCTGGGCAGTGCCAGGCCCTCCTGCCCTCCCCAGCTGGGTGCTGGAGGAGGCTCTGCTGCTGACGGGCACCCCGGGTTGGGATAAGGGTGGTTGGGAGCCCCATGGGGCAGGTTGTGCCAGTTCACAGCCTGACATGTCTTGCCCACAGGTGGGGCAGAGTCCTTCCACTACACCTGCCAGGGCCAGTGCACCATGGCCCAGGGCACCAATGATGCGGCCGACTTGGACAGCACACGGCATGCCTTCTCTCTCCTGGGTACTGTCCTGGCTGGGCATGGATGGGGAGGGGGCAGGCAGGGCTGGTCCCCAGGGCTGGTTGTCCCACCACCCTCACCCTGATGCTGGTGTAGGAGTGCTGGTGCCAGACATCCCAGTGCTGGGGAGCCCGGCTCTCTACTGGCCGTTCCCATCCCTCTGGTTTGTGTGACGCAGGGGGTGAGACCAGCACAGGGTGGGGGGAGCCTGGGGAGTCCCTCATGCCTGTGCTGTGCCTGCAGGTGTCCCTGAGGCCAACCAGCTGGAGCTATTCAGCATCCTGGCTGCCATCCTGCACCTGGGCAACATTGTGGTCAGAGGGAGGGACCGCCGTGGGGATGGCTGCTTCGTGGAGGTGGGCGAGAGCTTGCTGCCTGCACCCTGCATCCCAAACTGGCCCCTGAGCTGCGCTGGCTGCAGGAGCCACATCTCAGCAATACCGCGGTGACAGGGTCTGTCCCTTTGCAGCCTGCCGATGAGGCCCTAGGGCTGTTCTGCACACTGCTGGGCGTCGAGGCATCGCAGGTGATGCGCTGGCTCTGCCACCGCAAGCTGGTCACTGCTGGTGAGACCTACCTGAAGCCCCTCTCCAGGCAGCAGGCACTCAACTCCCAGGATGCCCTGGCCAAGCATATGTATGGGCAGGTCTTCAGGTGGATAGTGAGCAGGGTCAACCGTGCCCTGCGGTCACTGGAGGGCCACCATACCTCCATTGGCATCCTGGACATTTACGGGTAAGAGCAGCTCCCCTCTCCTGGGCTGCCTGGAAAAGCGTGGTCCTACTCCTGCATCAGCTGTGGCTGCAGGTCTGCAGCCACCAACTGCTCCAGCTGGGACATGGGGCAGTACCCGTCCCTGCAGTGGGGCCAGTTGGGTGCCTGTGGCTGGCTGTGGTGGCTCTGCCCGGCAGCTGCCTTCAAGCAGGTCTCTGCTGCCCGCAGGTTTGAGATGTTTGAGCAAAACAGCTTTGAGCAGTTCTGCATCAACTATGCCAACGAGAAGCTGCAGCAGCTCTTCAATCTGGTGGGTGTCACCCAGATGTGTCTTCATGCTGGGAGCTAGCAAGGGTGGGCCCTGCACATCCCGGCTGCGCTGTTGCTTTTGGTGCTCTCTGCCTTGAATGTGGCTGGTGTTTCAGTCCCTGCAAACATGGGGCTCTGGGAGGCTGCTGGAGCTGGGCATGGTCCCCTCCTTTCTCTGAAAGTGCTCCTGCTCCAGGAGAAGGGCTGCTCAGGTGTCTTATGGAAACCAAGCCACTGCCTGCAGCCTGCCTGGTGGCTGGCCACCTTTGTGCCCTCCTGGCTCAGTCCTGCTTTGCTCTCCCTGCCCTCCAGCACGTCTTCAAGCTGGAGCAGGAGGAGTATGTGACTGAGGAGATCCCTTGGGTCTTTGTTGACTTCTGTGACAACCAACCATGCATTGAGCTCATTGAGGGTCGGCTTGGCATCCTGGACCTGCTGAATGAGGAGTGCAAGGTGGGCAAGGGGGGTCGGGAGCAGGCTGCCATAGCCACACAGAGCCCCCCTGCTGCTCTTTCTGACCTATTTGTCTTTCAGATGCCCCAAGGCAGTGATAGGAGCTGGGCCCAGAAGCTTTACCAGACCCATCTCAGCAGCTCCCACTTCCAGAAGCCCAAGAGGCCCACCGATGCTTTCGTTGTCTGCCACTTCGCCGGCAAGGTAGGGAAAGCTGTGGCAGCACAGCCCTGGGCAGGGAGGGCTCGTCAGTGGCTCTGCACCAATGGGCACCCAGCCTGCCCTGTCTAGAGCTGGTGGTGGCAGCTCCTGCAGCCTCCTGCTGTCCCAAGTGGCTGCGGCAGCTGTCTGCACCCTCCCAGGCTGGGAAGTGGATCCTGCTGGCTCTGCTGCTGCTAAGTGCTGGGCTGCAACTCTTTAACTCAGGGTATGGAAACTCTGGCTGTGATGGTTCCCATCAGTATCCTTGCAGCAGGGCAGGAGCTAGGCAGTGTGGCCACCCCTAGCTCTGACACCTGCAAGGACTTCTTCCAAAACCTTGGACTGTGTCCAAGCAGAGCCCTGCACCAAACCGGTCTTGGAAGCTACAGGCCAATGCTGGTGCCTGCCTTGTCTCCTGCCAGGTGGAATACCAGTGTGATGGGTTTGTGGAGAAGAACAGGGACGCTGTCCCCGAGGAGCTGGTGGGGCTGCTGCGAGCCAGCAAGGTGAGAGCCACCCTGAGCAGTGGCTGTGTAGGGCAGAGCCTGGCCGGCTTGTGGCCCCGGGAGCCTGGGGCTGGGAAGGACTGATGGTGTAGGAGGTAAAGATGTGCAGGGTAAATCCCTGTCTGCCTGCTGGCATAGCCCCATGCAGTGCTGGCCATGGTCAGGGTGCCCTGAGATGTGGGTGCTCCCCACCCTTGGGCTTCCCCATCTTGGGAGACACCTTGGCATCTCCCTGCTGAGAGGGCTGGAGGGTCCTGCTGCTTCCAGGTCTGTAATGCTGTCACTTCTCCCTTCCACCCTGTGTGGCCCTGGCAGAAGGTAAGGGACATCTTAAAGGGCTCTTGAGCACATCTGGGGAAGTGCCCGTGGCTTGCACTTAGTTTTTCCTGGGGGAAGCAGTAGGCAGGGGCACAGCTGGATCTGGCACATCTGGGCTGTAGCAGGGCAGAGGACTGTGCACTGGGCTGGCCCCTGTGAAACCTCTGGTCTTTTGGGTCTGTGTCTCCTGGTGGTGATGGCTCTCTGGGTATTGGGTGATGCTTGCTGTGAGGTCTGCCTGGCTCTCACAGCTCTGCTCTGTGCAGTCTGCCCTGCTCGCTGAGCTCTTCCTGGAAGAAGGGGATGGCCCCGTGTCCCTGCAGTCCCGCAGGTCCAGCGGGCCCAGGATGGCTGGTCGCCCCAGCCGCAGATCACTGCCTAGTAGCCAAAAGAGCAAGAAGTCCATCTCCAGCCAGGTATGGGGTGGGGGGGAAAATGTGTGCTGGCCCCGGACAACTGGGGCTGGGGTAGCCCCAAGGGGACCAATGTGTGTCCTGGCCCAGGGAACCCCACAAGCCCCAGGATGTTCCTGCTGGCCCTGACCATGCTTGTCTTGTCCTCTGCAGTTCAAAGCCTCCCTGAACCGGCTGATGGAGACGCTGGGCAGCACCACACCGCACTACATCCGCTGTATCAAACCCAACGACGGCAAGCAGCCCTTTGTGTGAGTGCCTGGCCAGGGAGGCTGGAGGGGATGGGGCTGGAGACACTGTGGGGCACTGCTGTTCCTCCAATCTGCGTCCCTCTTGCCCTGGCCCTGCATAGCTTGGAGCGTGCATAGCTGGCTGGCACCCATTCTAGATCAGCCCCTCTTTGCCCCAGGTTTGACTCCAGGAGAGCAGTGGAGCAGCTACGAGCCTGCGGGGTCCTGGAGACCATCCGGATCAGTGCCTCAGGCTACCCCTCCAGGTACCCCGCTGCTTCAGCAGCACCCTGGGTGCTCCCTCCCTCTCCAGCCACAGCACCTCTGACCGCCCTCTCTACCCCACAGGTGGACGTACCAGGAGTTCTTAGAGAGGTACAGGGCTCTGGTGAGCAGAGAGGAGCTGATGGGCACCGACGAGAAGCAGATCTGCAGCCTTGCCCTTGAGAGACTGCTCCAAGTAAGGGTCCTGCTTGGAGACTGCAGCTGTGGTACCAGAGTATCCCTTGCAGATACTTCTCCCCATGTGTGGGTGCCCAGTGGGGTACAGAAATGGGTGAGCTGGGAGATGGGGAGGAACTCAGCCTCCAGGGAGGTTGGATGCAGGGATCAGTGGCATGAGGAGCATCACTCACAGGGGAGCCTGACTGGGGTATGCTTTGTCCCTGGGACTGACTCCACCCTTGCACACAGGACCCCAGCAAGTACCAGTGTGGGAAGAGCAAGGTGTTTTTCCGAGCTGGCCAAGTGGCTTACCTGGAGGATCTGCGGTACCGGCGGCTGAGGGCGGCTTGCACCCTGCTGCAGAGGCACCTGCGGGGCTGGCTGGCACGGAGGCGCTTTGGACGGGCACGTGCCGCAGCGGTCTGCCTGCAGCGCCATGCCCGGGGCATGTTGGCCCGGAGGTGAGCGGGGGACGGGGCTTGGAGGGAGCTGCAATGAGCTGAGACAGAGCTCAGCCTTGGGGTGAGCTGGCAGTTGTACTGGCTCTGGGCTGGGCTTTGACCTGGGTGTCCCTGTGGTATGGGCTGGGCTGCAGGCTTTGCCACCCCCTGCTCAGCTCTCTGCCCTCCCTGCAGGTTCGCCAGGATGCTGCGAAGGACCAGGGCTGCCGTGATGCTGCAGAAGACCCTGAGGATGGTTCTGGCCCGGCGCTCCTACCTACGTGTGCGCCAGGCTGTCATCACCATCCAAGCCTTTGCCCGGGGCATGTTTGCCCGGCACCTTTACCAACAGGTAGGAGCCTGGCAGGGCAGTGGGTGTCCCGATCCCACCTGCGGGGGCTGTGCCGCTGGCGGTGCCACTGCCCCATCTCTCCCTCCACAGATGGTGTGGCACCAGAAAGCCGTGGTGATCCAGGCTGCTGTCAGGGGCTGGCTGGCCCGGACCCGCTACTCCCGCCTGCGTGGGGCTGTCATCTACCTGCAGTGCTGCTACCGCCGGGTGCAGGCACGCCGGGAGCTGCGGCGGCTGCGTGTTGAGGCACGCTCGGTCGAGCACTACAAGCAGCTGCACAAGGGCATGGAGATCAAGGTGATACAGCTGCAGTGCAGGCTGGATGAGCAGGTGGGTGCTGGCTTCAGCCCTTCGTGGCTCCCAGGGCGTGGGGGCAGCTGCTTTTTGCTGACCACTTCTTACCAGTCCCTGTGCAGCCAAAACCATGCCTGCCCTTGTCTTCAGGCCTCTCCCAGCCCTGGGGTGGGAGCTGACCCTGCCTGACACGTGTCCCCTGGCAGGAGTCCTGCCTCTGGGTCTCATTCCTGGGTTTTTAATGCTCCCTATGGATGTGGGGCTGGTGGCCCTGGGGCTGGGCTGGGCACCCTCCTGGGTGCTTGGTTGGGTGCAGCCTTGCAGCACAGTGTCATGTGCTGGGAACGGTTCTGGCATGGTGTGTTCTCCTACCACGCTCCTGCTGGCAGCATCTGCTGTCGCCATCTGGGTGAGTGTCTCTGCTTTGGCTGTCACCACTCCCTTTCTGGGGGTGTCTGTGGAGGGGGAGGGAGGGCTTCTGTGGTGTGATCCTGTCTCTGGGGGTTGGTGGAAGCAGGGCTAGAAAATCCTGCTGTCGGGGCTGGCCAGGAGGTGGGTAATAGGCTCTAAAGCCATGGCAAAGCTCATACGTGGCTCCATGTGGGATGGCACGTCATGGAGAGCTGCTCTCCCATACCTGAGCTCTGTTTGAGGTGATACTGGAGGCTCAGGGCTCCAAACAGATGGGTGGGAAATGGGGTATCCAGGTTTGTTGCAGAAGGGCAGCCTGAACATGCATGGGCTCTCACTGATGGGAGACACAGGGGGATATGCCCTTGTTCCTGGCCACCTGCCTGATGTGCTCTGCCCATTGGCCCAAGGCCCAGGAGAAGCAGCGGCTGGTGGAGCAGCTCTCGGGGCTGAATGCTGCCCATGCTGAGGAGGTGCAGTGCCTGCGGGCTGAGCTGCAGCAGCTGCGGGAGGATGCGGCCCGTGCGAGGAGCTCGGCAGGTCTGTCTGTCCAGGGGATGCTCTTGCTCTGCTGGGGCTCCATGGGGTTCGCCAGGAACCTGGCAGCATGCTGTGCTTCCTGCCGTGGGGTGGTCACTGGAGGATGCCTCTGGCAGCCAGGAGGATGCGGCCCGTGACGCCCAGGTCCAGCAGCTGCAGGAGCGGCTGGCCGAGCTGGAGAGGCACAGCATGAAGAGCTGCCTGGGCCAGGAGGTCGAGGAGCTCAGGCAGGTCTGTCTGTCCAGGGGATGCTCTTGCTCTGCTGGGGCTCCATGGGGTTCGCCAGGAACCTGGCAGCATGCTGTGCTTCCTGCCGTGGGGTGGTCACTGGAGGATGCCTCTGGCAGCCAGGACTGGCCCCAGGCAGGGCTCTGGGTGTACCTGCCCCTTTGCTTTCCTGCAGCGGTTGGCAGAGGTGGAAGCCATGAAGCTGCAGCTAGGGGAGGAGAGGGATGCCCTGGTCCAGCGCATGTCGGAGCAGTCACAGGATCTGGAAGGTAAAAGGGGTCCTCCGATCCCCTCATCCCATTCCCCTGGGTATGGGCTGGTCCTGCAGGCTTGGTGTGTTCCTGCGTGTCCCCTTGCAGGGGGGTCCTGGCTTTGCTTGTCCTCACTCCCTGCTGTGTCCATCCCCACAGAGCAGCACCAGCGTGCGGTGCAGGAGAGCCAGGGTCTGCTGCAGGAGCTGGAGGAGGAGCGGGCGCGCTACCAGAGCCTGGTGCAGGAGTACGCCCGCCTGGAGCAGGGCTATGAGAACCTGCGGGATGAGGTGGCCTTCCACAGGGTGAGGGGCTGGCAGTGGCACAGGGAGGCTGAGGGCAACCCCTCCCTTGGCTCCTTGTGGGGAGTAGGCAGTGCTTGGCTGGTCCAGGGCACCCTCTGCGAGAGAAGTGGGCTCCCCAGCTCATGTGCTGAGGGATCCCCAAGCCAAGGTATCCTGAGGCTATTGCTGCTCTGCCCCGGCTGATGCGTCAGCAGGTGCTTGGGGTGCGGGGAAACAACCTTGTCCTTCTCTCCCCACTCAGCAAAGCACTTTGAGACGGTCCCCTTCGTCAGAGAGCTTCTTGGGCTCTGAGAGCAGCTACTTGTCCTCCATGTCCACAGCTCCCTCACGAGATGGCTCCGACCAGCAGGCTGAGGCTAGTGGTGACGCTATTGGGGGACAGTGGGGTGGGGGTGACAAGTGGACTGTCCCTTGCTCTGACTATGGGGACAGCTGTGCCCTGGGGCTCCTGGCTGGGAGCTGGTCCCATCAGGGAGGGCTGTCTGCAGTTGTTCTGGTGCTGGTGCCCAGCACTGGCTGCTGTGCCAACCCTTGTCTCTGCACCCAGGGGCTGGAGGAGCGCTGGCAGCCGGTGCCAGAGGGGCTGCAGCCACAGCCCAGCGGTGAGGTGCTGCTGAACGGCGGCATGGGCCAGGATCCCTTTGAGAAGGCGTACCTTCTCCTCCTGGGGCAGCTCAACGCTGTCAACGAGGAGCTGGCCCGGACCCGGGAGGAGCTGCGGAGGTCCAAAGCCCCTGTGGAGCCAGAGGAGAGGAAACCATTGGACTTCCTCAAGCGCAGGGTGAGCCCCTGCCCCACTGCAAGCAGGGCCAGATCCAGGCCGGTGGGGCTGGCCTCACCCTGCTCTCCATTCCCTGCAGAACATAGCTGAGATGCTGGGGCTGGGCAGGAGCCCGGAGAGGGCGGCAGTCGATGATGACTTGAAGCATGCATATGATGCGGTACAAGTTGCCAATAGGTGAGTGTGGTCCCAGGGAGATGGTCCCCAGCTGAGGCTGGTTTCCCCACAATGGGCTGCTGGATCCATGCTGCTGGGCTTTCCAGCAACATCCAGGATGGAAACATCCAGGGGCTTTCCCTGGTGTTTCAGCCAGCCACAGCTTGGGTGGCAGCTGCCTGGCCTCTGCAGTGCTGTGGTGCTGGGCAGCTGCAAATCCTCTTTGAAGCAGCCACCTCCTCACGTGCTACTGGCATCGTAGCCCCAGCTGGGCTGGGAGAGCAAGGACAGCCTGCCCCTCGCTGCCCAGCTGGGTGTGGGGTAGCCCTGGCTTTCATTCCCTTTTCTCCAGCACACCCAGCTGTGTTTTCCAGGGGGGCTGGAGCATCCTACCTTGCTCTGAGCACAGGCACACCCACTGCATGAGCAGACCAGATACCCTGGGCTCAACAGGAGCCTCCTAAGAGGGCAGAGCTGGTGCAGCCTGTTCCTGGGCTGTGGCGTGTGTGCTCAAGGCTCAGTGCAGCTGGAGGGGAGATGCTCTGTTAGCACAGCTGGGTTTATGCTGCCCCCAGGGTGCCTGGCCAGGGGGAGAGTTCCCAGCTCTGAGGCTTCAGGGGAGAAACACCTCCTCAGCAGCCTCCCCAAGGGATGGGGTGTGGCAGCTGAAGGGAGGCTGGTGCCTCAGTTTCCCCGGGTGCATGTGTGCAGGCTGCTGGCGAGTCAGCTGCAGGAGGAGAAGCAGCAGCATGAGGAGGAGGTAGAAGGGCTGCACCTCAACATCTACTCGCTCAAGCAGCTGAGCCAGCAGCAGGCAGCCCTCATTCATGACCTGCAGCGGGACCAGGGGCAGGAGGGGCTGCAGCACCATGTCCTGCGGCTCAAGGAGGAGAACTGGGTAAGGGGTGGGGCAGGTGGGCAGGACCTGGCTTGGGGCTGGCTTCCACCCCCTTGCCCTGTGGCGAGCTGCAACAGCCCCTTAGGGAGCAATGTGTGGGACCCTGCTGCATCCCCCCAGCTCTGCTCCACTTGGTGGGTGCTGGTGGGGGTGTCCAGCTGAGGGAGGCTGGCTGAGCCCTACTGGGGCTGTCTCTGCCCAGGAGCTGGCCCAGAAGCTGGAGAAGCAGGAGAGGACCACACTGAAGCTCCAGAAGCAGCTGAGAGCCTATGTGAAGCAGATCCAGGAGCTCACAGGCAAGTGCCTCCACGGGAGGGAGGCATGGGGCTGGCTGGAGGGTCACCAGCCTGGTTTTAGGCTGGAGCATCGCCCAGCCTCAACATGGGGAGCAGAGTCCTCCCCAAACAGAGATGCTGGGGAGCATCTGCTTGGACTGAGCTGAGGGGACTTGTCCTGGGCTGTGGGACCCAGATCACAGCAGGATGTGACCTGTGGTCCTCTCCTGCAGTGAAGAGAGAGGCTACCGGGCCAGCACAGGAGGGGACTTGATCTGGGTCCCACAGCCCAGGACACAGCAGGATGTGACCTGTGGTCCTCTCCTGCAGTGAAGAGAGAGGCTACCGGGCCAGCACAGGAGTTGGCAGCGTCTGCTGTGGTCCTGTCCCGGTCCCCCATGGTCCCATCCCTGGCTGGACTGTCCCAGGCCATGCTAGCATGGAGGATGGAGGACGAAGGGCGCATTATCAAGGCCATCATCACAGGTAGGGTTTGGAGAGATGGGGACTCCTTACCCCAGCTTGGTCCCTGCTAGGGTTTCTTGCCAACCTCTGTGTGAGCTCATCCTTCCAGTGTTGCTGGGGAAGCATCCTGCCTGGCTCAGGATCAGCTTTTCGTAGCTGACTGGATCCCAACTGTCCTGCTTTCCCCTGCAGACTACAAACCACAGAGCAGCCCTGGGGCGCTCCCAGACCTGCCAGCCTATGTCCTCTTCCTATGCTTCCGGCATGCAGACCACTGCTGTGATGAGCCACGGGCTCGCTCGCTCCTGGATGCAGCCATCGATGCCATCAAAAGGGTCATGAAGGTGCTGGGCTTGGGGGTGTGGGTTGGGCTGAGGAGCAGGAGCTTCACTGGCCAAGGTGGGGGTGGCACTGGGGCAGCAGCTTGGCCCCCAGGGCACAGTGTATTACCTGACTGCAGTGTCTAGCCTGAGCATCTCCTGGGGTGAGGGGTGCCCCTGGGTGCTGCAGGGCTCCTGCGAGAGGGTCCAACAGCTCTGCGCCCCCACAGCCCTCATCAGGCTGCAGCTAGCTCTGTGTGGCTTACGGAGCTACTGTGGGGTGTGAGGGCTTGCTGCTGTCACCACCAGAGCCCTGCTGACCCCGGTGCTCTCTGTGCCCTCCTGCAGAAGCACAGTGATGACTTTGACATGGTGGTACTCTGGCTTGCCAACACCTGCCGGCTCCTGAACTGCCTGCGCCAGTACAGCCAGGATGAGGTAGGGCTGGGCTGCAAGGGGCTCTGCCACTTCTCTGGGAAGGGTGGGAGCTTAGCAGGGACAGGGCTTGTCCCCACCGGGGGCTGCATCCCCTCCAACCCAGGTAGCTAGGGATATGCTGGGCTGACACTGCTCCATGCTTGCTTGGGGACCCAGCTGTGTCCCCTGGTACTGCTGGCTCTGACCCAGCCTGTGCCCGCAGAGCTACTGGCAGGGGAACACGGCGCGGCAGAACAAGCATCGCCTGCAGAATGTGGACCCCCAGAGTTCCTGCCACAGCCTGGGTGCCCTGTCTGTCCAGCTCTACCAGCAGCTCATCCGCACTGCTGAGAAGCGCCTCAAACCCATGATTGGTATGGCCTGGGCTTGGGGGGCTTGCAGGGCACTCGCAGGATACTGGTTCAGGGAGGGAGCGCTGTGCTCAGCTGTGTGAACTGCCTGCTCTGTTACAGAGGCTGTACCCAGGGGGAAGGTAGGCTCTGAATTGGGGGCCCCCCTTCTATGAGGGACTGTCTGCTCCTTGAGCCTCCTGGCTTGGAGGAGGTGGCTGGGGAGCTAAAGCGGGCTCAGCACCCTGGGGACCTTGGGCTGCATCCATGGGGAGCTCTATTCCCCCGTGCCCTGCTTTGCAGCCTCATGAAGCAGGGCCAGCCCCTGGGCTAGTCTGGGCCAGCTGTCCTGGAGGTGTCATTGGCCCCTGCATCCCCAACTGGGACACAGAGCCAAGGAGCAGTGTACTGGCTGCTTGAGGCACAACGCAGGGTTTCTGCCTCATTATGATGAGTCTTTTCTACCCTTTAGTTGCCGCAATGCTGGAGAGTGAGCCCATACAGGGCTTGTCCTCCTCCTGCCCTCCTGGCCACCGCCAGTCCTCGGCAGCCCCTGCCCACACCCTGCCTGAGCTGCTGCGCGCTGGCCCGCCATGGGCTGGCGCCCAGTGTGGGGCACCAAGCTCTGCGCCAGCTCCTCTTCCTCATCAGCGGCACCACCCCCTGCCTGAGCTGCTGCAGCAGCTGGGCTCCTTCCGTGCAGCGCTGGACCGCCATGGGCTGGCGCCCAGTGTGGGGCACCAAGCTCTGCGCCAGCTCCTCTTCCTCATCAGCGGCACCACCCTCAACTACCTGCTGCTGAGAAAAGACACGTGCTCCTGGAGCCGCGGCATCCAGCTCAGGTCAGTCCTCGTGCAGGACAGGTGTATCTGGGGGAGCTGGGGTATGGCCCGTGCTTCCCCTGACCTCGTCTCCCTGGCAGGTACAACATCAGTCAGCTCGAGCAGTGGCTGCGGGCAGAGGGGCTGCAGCAGAGTGGGGCCCGCGAGGTGCTGGAGCCCCTGGTCCAGGCTGCCCAGCTGCTACAGGTGAAGAAGGTGACAGAGGAGGACGCTGGAGCTCTCTGCAGCCTGTGCACAGTGCTGTCACCCCAGCAGGTACTGGGGGGGTTGGGGCTCACTGCTTGCTGGGCACTCATCCTATCCTGGGGCTCCTTGGCCTCCCTGGGTGCACCAGGGATGCACTGGCACTGGGGTGGGGACGATGCCATACCTAGAAGTGTCTGGATGTGCCTAGCCCATCCCTGTTCATGGACCCCACCACCTTCTCCAGGTTGTGAAGATCCTCCGGGCTTACACTCCGGCTGTTGGGCTGGAGGAGCGCATCAGTCCCAGCTTCATCAGCAGCGTTGAGGTAAGTGGGACCTGGGGTCCAGTGCTGGGGGGGGGCTGTCCCGCATGAGCTCCCTCACTGGGGCAGCCCTGGATGTGAGCACTCTGTCCCCACAGAAGCAGCTGCAGGACCAGTATGGAGGGGGACCCAGCCAGCTCCTGGTGGACACCAGCCACCTCTTCCCTGTGCACCTGCCCTTCACCGCCTCCCCCCTGCACCTGGATGAGCTCCGCATCCCTGATGCCCTTGACCTGGCCTTCCTTGTCCGCCTCTAAGCCCAGGTCCTGCCCTGGGTCACTGCCAGTGCCCCATCGAGGGGTGTCTGAACCCCCTGGGGTGTGGGAAGGCTGTGAAGGCTGGAGGTGCAGCACTATTTGTGTGTGCCGTTCTTCTGGGAAGTTGTTTATTTATTGAAACTCGGGTGCCTTGTTTGTGGCACTGCCAGGGCCTATGGCAGTCCTGCGCTGGGGGTTTTGGCCACTTTTTAATCCTTTGAAGTTAATAAAAGTCTTTGCAGATAACTTTGGAGTCCAAGGCTGTCTGGCGTGGGTGCGCTGTTTGCAGGGTGGTGTGAGGGAGCTCAAGGACCATCACTGGGGGATTCCTAGGGCTTTTCATGAATTATGGAATGGTTTGAGTTGGAGAGGACCTTTAAAGATCATCTAGTTCCAACTCCCTGCAATGGGATGGGACATCTTTCAGTAGATAATATTGTTCAAAGCCCCATCCAACCTGACTTTGAATGCTTCCAATGATGAGGTTCCACAAGTTCTCTGGGCAACCTGTTCCAGAGTCTCACCTCCTTCATTGCCATCCACCCACTTTGAATGCTTCCAATGATGAGGTTCCACAAGTTCTCTGGGCAACCTGTTCCAGAGTCTCACCTCCTTCATTGTAAGACGTTTCTTCCTTAAGTCCAATCTAAATCTGCTCTTTCAGCTTGCCCCAGAAGGGCAGCTGGGCCCATAGAGGACCCTGGGGCTCTTTGGAGGGTAGCAGGGTCCTGCACGGGCTCTGGCAAAGCACTGATGACTTATTCTATAGGCAATTAGGAGAAATCTCTGGATCAGTAGCTCTTGTCCTTATGGGACATTTCAGCTTCCCAGATGTCAACTGGGAATACCATACTGCTGTGATGAGCACATCTGGGAAATTACTGAAGTTTGTGGGAGGGAACTTCTTGTCACAAGTACTCAGGGAGCCAACTAGGAAAGATATCCTCCTAGACTTGTTAGTTGTGAATGGAGAAGGACTTGTGGGAGATGGGAATGGTCCTGGCCACGTTGCTCATGAAATGGTTGAGTTTAAAATAGTCAGTGTAATGAGGAAAAAAAGGCCAGCAGAGTTGCTAGCCTGGATTTTGAGAGAGCAAACATTACACTGTTCAGGGAGGTACTTGGCAGAGTCCCCTGGGCATCTGCTGTTGAGGGCTCAGGAGTCGGCGAGTGCCGGTCAGTCTTTAAGAAGCACCTTTGAGAAGCTCAGGAGCAGGCAATTCCCCTGTGTCAGAAGTCAAGCGAGCGGGGCAGAAGACCAGCTTGGCTGAAGAGGGAACTCCTCGCGGAGCTCCAGAGGAAAAAGGGATTGTACCATCTCTGGGAGCAAGGTCAGGCTTTGCAGGAAGATTACAGAGCTGTGGTTTGCATGTGCAGGGAGAAGACATGAAAGGCCAAAGCTCAGTTAGAGTTGAAACTGGCCAGTGCTGTGTTAGATGACAAGAAGGGGTTTTTTTTAAGTACGTTCATAGCAAGAGGAGGTCTAAAGAAAACATTGGAGCAATAGTTGTTGAAGATGGTCACCTGACTCATAGGGATGGAGGAAGAGCGGAGGCCTTCAATGCTTTGTTTGCCTCAGTCTTTAATAATGCTGATAGACCTTGGGCTGCCCGGTTCCCTGAGTCTGAGGACCACAAGCGTGGGAACAGTGACTTTCCATTTGTGGACACTGAAGTTGTCAGGGACTAGCTGTATCAGCTGAATGTTCACAAGGCTTTGACACCTCTTCCCACAGCATTCTCCTGGAGAAACTGGCCACTCATGGCTTGGATAGGTGTACTCTTCCCTGGGTAAAAAACTGGCTGGATGGCCAGGCCCAAAGAGTTGTGGTGGAGTTAAATCCAGTTGGTGGATGGTCACAAGTGGTGTTCCCCAGGGCCAGTTCTGTTTAATATCTTTATTAATGATCTGGACGAGGGGATCGAGTGTACCCTCAGCCAATTTGCAAATGACGCCAAGTTGGGCAGGAGCATTGATGTGCTTATGGGTAAGCACAGAGGGATCTAGACAGGCTCAATTGATGGGCTGAGGCCAATTCTATGAGCTTCAAGAAGGCTAAGCGTTGGGTCCTGCACATGGGTCACAACAACCCCATGCAATGCTACAGGCTTGGGGACATGGTTTAGTGGTGGACTTGGCAGTGCTGGGTTAACGGTTGGATTCAATGATCACAGAATCATTAAGGTTGGAAAAGACCTCTAAGATCGAGTCCAACCGTCGACCCAACACCACCATGCCCACTAAACCATGTCCCTAAGCACCTCATCTACACATCTTTTAAATACCTCCAGCGATGGTGACTCAACCCCTTCCCTGGGCAGCCTGTTCCAATGTTTAACCACTCTTTCAGTAAATAAATTTTTCCTCATGTCCAATCTAAATCACCCCTGGCGCAATTTGAGGCCATTTCCTCTTGTCCTATTGCTTGTTACTTGGGAGAAGAGACTGACACCCACCTCGCTTCAACCTGCTTTCAGGTAGTAGTAGAGAGCAATGAGGTCTCCCCTCAGCCTCCTTTTCTCCAGGCTAAACAACCCCAGCTCCCTCAGCCGCTCCTCATAAGACTTGTTCTCCAGACCCCTCACCAGACTCGTTGCCCTTCTCTGGACATGCTCCAGCACCTCAATGTCCTTCTTGTAGTGAGGGGCCCAAAACTGAACACAGGATTCGAGGTGCGGCCTCACCAG